ATTATTAATTTTTATTATAATATGTTTGTATGTGTGTGTGTGTGTGTGTGTGTGTGTGGTGGGGGGGGGGGGTATATTTTATATATATATAATTATATTTTATATATATATAAAATATTTTATTTTTATGCAAGATGAGCACGTGAACTCTATGGAAATTACAACAGATCTTCGAAGAGTTGATTGTAGTTATATAGTTTGAAACTGACGATGGGGGCGTAGGTCGTTGACAAACATGGGAGTGCCATAGATAAAGGATCGATGACAAAAAGAGAGCAAAGCAGTCAAAGAGAGAACCTTTTTACATCGTTTGGCCATTCCCTTTATAAATGGGCGTGGCTCTTAGATTATATCATACGCATAATTTCTGTTTTCATGGAAAATTAAATTTAAAAGAGAAAAAATTACTGATTAGTGTTTTTTCGAATTTGTAAATATGTGTTTGGGAATGTAAAAATTATTCCTTTAACTTTAAACGCAAAATCTTTGAAACGTTAAGTAACAATTTTGTGTTTGTAATTTTATAAACTTTATAATTAAATCAATGTTTGAAACGGAACCTTTCAAAATGTAATGTTTCATGTACAATAAACTGATATTTTATAGATTTATTTTTATTCTGTGTAAATCATTTGAAGACCGATAATACCTGAATAGAGAATATTTATTAAAACGCATGAAATGGATACGCGCGAAAAGAGAATCAATGAGCGGAAACCGATTGTACGCGTATATAAGCAATTGTAAATCGCTATGTTAATATCGCTGCCGGGGTTCACTGGGGTCGCGTCAGGTCATCATGACGTCAGCGGATACAGCGACTCACCGTTGTTCGGCAAGCTTATACATTGCACACATGACATCAATAAAAAATATATTGTAACTACATTTTTACTTTTTTCATATAATTAAATTCTACTTTTAATATTTGTCTTTTAAAAGAAGAAGGCTTTTTTTTAGAAGTTTTTGAAATATTTTAATTAAAATTGCTTTAGACATATATGTAATTTTTATCGATAGAAAACATAACAAGTAATACACACGCACACACGCGCGTAAATAATAAAATCTTATATGTATATGTATAACTTTGATAATGATAATTTCATGTTTATTTGTTAAGAATTTTATATAATTATTGTTAATAGACAAAAGATTTATATACATATGTAACCACGAACAATATGTACGACATTTTGTATAAAAGAATATATGAGGAAAAATTAGTGGTACAAAAATATTCAAAATTTATAACTATATAACAAAATTTATAAATAATTTTATAACTCTTTTTTATTTTTCTTTTTATATTTAACATTTTTGAACATACATATGACATATCTTCTTTCTTTTAATTATTCTATTATCATAATTTGTGATAATAATCAATAATTTATATTCATGTTTCGCCCTCTGTTCCATATTTCTTGTAACTATGTAAAACGAACTAGTCGGTCAGAGAATTTCACATCACTCGATAAAACAGATTTCTTATTTTAGAAATCTCTTTCAGATCATCTTTTTCACACATGCGCGCGCACACCACACGTACGCATGGACATTTTTTGCGGAAAGAACAATATTGAAAGATTACAAGAGATTAACAAGAGTTACAACAAAGTTGTAATTTAAAATAAGTATAGATAATACACTAACATATAAATTTGATATGAAAAAATACAGTATAAAGAAATTTTTTACACTTTTTTTATATCAATGTATAATCTGTTATATCAACATCCGACATCTTGTTGGATTATATCGATTTATAATTACAGCATGGTAATTTACTTTTCAATCTAAAATCAATTTAAAACAATTTTCTCCAAAATCTTATATTTTTTAATAAAATGGAAGCTTAAAGTTCTGCTAAAATTAAATAAATAAAATAAAGAAATAAAATTAAATAAATAAGATTTAAATTTTCAACAATTTAAAATATTTGTTTTTAAAAAATAAGTGTCTTTATTAATGTATATATATTTATAGAAATTTAAATAAAATTGTTTTGCGCTTAATGCTACTTTTAAGATAAAATTTTTCTTATGTCACACAATCGCTTGACTTGGTTAGTGTTGGAAGTAACTCTGTGTCATTTTATTCCATCACGGATTCTTGCAAGTCTTTCTTAGGCGCGAAATATAATTAAACCTTCTCAATCTTAAGTATCTATTAAGTATTGACAGATTTGCATTTTGTGCCAAAATACAGCGTTCTTTAATAATTTTTTACAATTTGTTTTGTGGGTCTGTTTTACTGAATTAATAATTCATCAATAAACAAAATTATAAAAAATAGAAGGATATATTAAATAATGTAAGCGTTAAGAAATAACACAAATAATGATTATGAATTAATAAAAAGATTATAATAACAATCTTAAATAGAATCCTCTATTTTTTTAGATAAATAAATAATATATTTATAATAGAACATTTTTTACAAGATTGTGCTTTTTACATTTCTTGCATAAGCTTTGATGTCTTTGCGATCTAGCTAGGCTTGTTGAAGAGTAAAGACCTCAAAGAAAATTACATGATATTTTACTAAGAAAGTCTAATAATAAATAGATATTATAATAGTGATAAAGTAACATAATAATACAAAAAGTTATAAATAAAAAACAAAATTTAAGTTAAACTTATTAAATAAATCTATATTATAAATATATATATAAGCTTTTTAAAATCCATAAGAATTATTGATAATTTGGATAATTCATAAAACCATAGTTTCAGGATCATTCACAATTGCGAGCTATCATGAGTCATACTTTACACGAGTCTATACGGAGCTTCCAGCATTATATTTATTTTGTATTAAACCTTCTTCTATTTTCTCCGTTCTTGGTATTTCCGATATAAAGCAGATGGCGATAGTTTTATCTATTGATGTGATTATGTGTATATCAATTATTATTATTATTAAATATATTATTAGATAAATATGCAATAAACGCTCTCTCTTTTGATTTTTCCGATAATTTTGTTAATAAATTTTTTGTTTTTTCATGCGTAGAATGTATTTTGAAAAGGTGTTGTTATCAAATTGTTATTCAAATCCCATTCTTTTTAATTTCAGTTTTTGATGTCGGTAAGTTAGAAAATGATAATTTATGGCTATGCATGCTCATTTTCTACTTAAATTAATTAATTAAAAACAAATTATTTTTTTATATATTTGAAATTATAGCCAAGAATAGTTTGTGATTCAAAATTTACATCTTTTTTATTCTTTTTATATGGGTTGAAGTTCAAATCTATATTTGTTTGGAACTTGAGTGACAATTTTCCTTCTAAAAAATATATTCTATGTATGAAAATATACAAATTTACAAAATTACAGAAAAATCGGAAAAGAGAGCATTATACTGCATTATACTTTATTTATTATAATAAATATTATGGTTTACATGTAATTAAACTTAAGTTAGGTTTTGAATAATTTGTTAATAATGATAACATATACCGATTACCGGTTTTACATATATATATATATATATATATATATATATATATATATAAATATATATATATATATATGTGTGTGTGTGTGTGTGTGTGTGTGTGTGTGTGTATAGAAAGCGTAATATGACAATATAAACATAGCTTATCACAAACACATATACAAATACATATCATTTTATATGTTTTACAGGTTTTCCTTACACTTTATACTATTTTTAACATTTTAAAATCACCATTCTATTGACAATTAATCATAATGATTTATTATTATTATTATTATTATTATTTAATCAAGCTATCATTCATATACTAACATAATAATCACACTCATACTACTAATTAATACATATATTGATTTAATAATTATTGTAGCATTATGCTGATTCAATAAACTCATGAATTCGTTAATATGATCGTTAATACACTTTAATCATTATTATTGATCTTGTTGTCGTTGTTGTTGTTGTTGTTGTTGTTGTTGTTGTTGTTGTTATTGTTGTACTAATTGATTATCATATATCGTAATAATCGAATATTGCGGCTTATATACGAAAGTGTACATATTCACCTTTTGAACTGTAGTTTAATGTTGAAGATCGTAAAACACTATTGTTATTCTTTACACATTTTTTCACAACGGAGCGTTTATTTCTCGTTCTTTTTTCATTGCATTCGCGTTCATTCGTTTCATTTTCCTTTTTGTCTAATTCAAGTCGCATATTGTGCAATACGGCACTTAAACTATCACGATCAAATTTGTATCTTGATTCGCTCTGTTGCTCCGAAAATTCTGCTTTCTGTTTGAAAATTTTTATCGAATAATTAGTTCTTTTTTGCGAACAATTTTCATCCTTCGCTTCATCCTTCTCTTTATCTACGAAGCGAAGCTTTTTAGGTTTTAATCTCGCTTTGGAAAAAGGTTTCCTCAATTTAATAGGAGCATTCGGAGGTACAGGCGTGGTTCTTTTTGCTATCGGGGAAGTTACAAATAACTGGGATGCGAAAGAGGATGAAGATCGCAAGAAGTTGCCCGAAACTCTGTACTAAAAATAAAACGAGACTTACAACGTTAAACATTTCTAATTTGATGTACATATAATTATCAATTTAATAATTGAAATGTAATTTACATAGAATGTTATTAAATTAGTTTCACATTAACCATAATTGTGTGATTTATTTATTATTCGTTATTATTAAATATGCATATGTGTGTATGTACATACAGCAAATATTTAATTCAATTCATTAAACCACGTAATCCAGCCGATACAATTGCAACACAGTTTTGAGAAATTGGAAATTGTCTCCGAAAATTAGAAACTGTCTCGAAAAATTTATTAGTTACTAGATAAATTCAAAAGTTTCGGGGATAAATTTGTCCGTCGTAATCACGGAACACGATTATATTTTTTTTTGCAAAAAATACTGATTAGGAGAATGTATTAATGAAATTAGTGACTTAAAGATAAATCAGTTTGATGAAATTCTGTCGTATTCCGATTTACCCGTGAAGTTGTTCGTCCTACTTCCTCATGTTGTTCGAGACCCCGATGAGCTTCGAATAACAATATCGGCATCTGTCTCGTGCCATCTTTGCGATCGCGCGCATCCTCGTCACAATTCTTTATCCATGGAATTGTTCGAGCCGTTTGGCCTTCCTCCATGACGATGTCACATTGTCCAAAATTCCAAGCTTCAAATAACAACATCGTTAACTGCCTCGTATCATCTTTACGCGCATCCTCCTCACGATTCATTTTTCGCAAAATTGCGAAATCTTGATGCAATTCCCAATTTGGCGCTTTTAAAAAGATGTATGCAATGAGAATGCAACGAAAGATAAAGGTATGATTCGAGAAAGTTATCTTAAAAAAATTATCCTGATGAGAAAACCTCAATCGCTACGTTAAACGGGGTTCACACGAGCGTGAACATGGCTTTAGTCTTTAGCCTCGAGCTCTCGAACGCATATTAATTCTATCGTAATATGCAAAATTTAATGGTGTGCTCTCGATACTTTTTTCTTAATTTTGCCGCAAATTTCATTTTCGTTGCTTTGAGGAATATTCATATTCGTAATATAGGTTTGCGTACGTATTCATAGGCTTAAGTGTTGTTTGCTTTTGCAAAATGTATCTTGTACATTTTGTTTCTCTATGCTTCCGATCGAAATATGTAACATGTATTTAACAACATAGCATATGATGATCGTATATTAATAATACTATACATAAAATGTAAAAGATTGCAAATGGCATAATTTCTTTTTTCTTAACTTTGCATTGTTTGCAATGTTACAAGATATAGTTATCAATTACATCTTTTTTCTCAAAATCAAGTGTTTTTCTAAAAGAAGAAGATTATCGAATCGCATTGAAAAAATTAAAGGTAGAAAAGTAGGAAAGAAAGAAATATAAATATATATTTTTTTAAATTTCGGCACAATACATGCATACATACATATACATACAACGCACACATCACACATACACACACGCATATACACACATACTTCTTTCAGGGTCTTTTGTGATTTGTTAATACGACCCTGTCATTTGGTAGAGTCCAATGGAAAATGGCGTCGCGGTGCGGCGCGAGCTTTCGGTCGCCGCTCGCGTTCGACAAGCAGTTATTCGCCATCGCAGACGAGTAGAAGTCGCATGGATGTCGCAGTTGTAAACGAGACGTACGAGGAGGAGCACCGTGAGGATAGTTGTACGACCGACTGGAAGAAAGAGGCGGGTGAAAATACCTGTCTGTCAAAGTGAGCATACATATTCGTAATCGGCAAGGCGAACGCGTTGAAAGAATATCCATAATATCAAATATGGCGAATTCACGATGCGCTGTCGGCAGCAACGACAGCAGCAGCAGCGGCGGCAGCGGCGGCGACGGCGGCGGTGGTGGTGGTGGCGGTGGTGGTGGTAGTGGTGGTGGTAGTGGTGGCGGCAGCAGCGGCGGTGGCGGCGGTGGCGGCGGTGGTGATGGTGATGGTGATGGTGATGGTAGTAGTAGTAGTAGTAGTAAAATAGTAGCAGTAGTAGTAGTGTAGTAACAGTGGTAGTGATGGTGGGGGGAAGATTGGGTGGAGCGAAGGAGAGTTGGGAACGAGACATAACGCATAGCGATAGTAGCGGCAGAAACAGATAAAGCGATAGCAGCATCACCAGCATCATCAACAGCGGCGCATCATGCCGTGTCGTATGCGCGCCGCCATGCGGATGATAGATCTTTATCAGAGTGTAGAAGAAAGTGGAAAGTAATGTTTATTTCAACTCTTTTCCTTCTTTCTTCCGGCCAAAATTTGAACATCTAGTGCAAACGAAAAAAAAAAAAATGCAGAAAATGCAATTAAGGCGAATCATAGAAAGCGTAATTAAGAAACGCGTTTTACTACACTTTTTAGATAGATTGTGGAATAGTGTAAAAGGTGCACATTTCCGCGTACAGAAAACAAATTTATTTTTT